ACTATATTGAAATTCTAAAGAAGAAAATCTTTAGCTGAAGATTCTGGTGTTTTATTCCACAGACACGTCACATAAGTATTTAATCCAAAACAGCAAATTAAAGATATTCATCTATTTTAAAAAATATTTTCTTAAGTAATTGCAAACATGCAAGTAGTCATTTAAGTAATGCGCACAACTTTAAGGAGTTTCACTTTGTTTATGAGTCTGTCCCACAGCTCTGTTCTCATCTCCTTCCTTAAGAACAAAAGATGTCAAAATAAAGAAGAGTAATATTTTTGTGATATGTGACAGCATGGAAGAGAAAAAAATTAGGATGTTATATATTTTTGGAAGTTATTTTGCATATATTTTTTGCATTTACTGCTTGAGTGCTTGAGTATCATATATTTTAAAGTCATCTCCTGTGGAGGTAATTTGATATTTCCAACCAAAACGTACTTCTATAGTCTTTATAATTTCCTGCTTTATGTTATTACTTGAGCCATAGTATTGTATCAATTACAAATATGTACTTATACATTTATATCTGTATACACAAAGACATATTTTGAGACAATTTCTTGTGCTTCTGTTGCATACCAAAAAATTTCATTTTTTTGTAGATGTTTCTGGAGAAATTCCTTAATATTTTAGCTTACTTATATTTTACTGAATGCCAAATTTTTCATTTGGTGCTTACGTCTTTTAGTCCTCCATGTTCCTTGTCAAATATTATCTTCATAATCAAATATAATTTCTGAGGATAGATTACTCCACATCTATAACAAACAAAGTCACATGTAACAAGACTTGACCAGAGTTTACTTTTCATCACAAAGAAGTCTGTTTGCATGTGTTGGACTGTGACATTTAACCCCTTTCCATCCACCACTCTCTAGGTTCTCAAGTGACCTGCAGAATTAATTTCTTCTGTTCATCTTCCATGCTTGACATGGCCAGTCAACAAAATATTTTTTCTGCTTCCTTCAAACTTAAAACTGCCTGAATAATTTGAAATAACACACAGTTAGATTTAAAACACATTCTTTATTAAAAAAACTACTTTTCTGCTGGATTCCTGCATGGCAATTACCTAACCAGGGGTTTAGATTCATAGAATGGCTAAGTAGCCATAATGGTTATAGTTTATTGAGTATTTGTATAATCACATCTTCCCCTGGTTCTGTAAAGTACATTGCAAATTGTGTTCAGCTGCAAAGAAATTTAGGAATCTCTGACTGTAGAAGAAATGGTGTTCCTCCCTTTATAAGAATCTCTTACTGTTAGAGAGCAACCTGGGAAATAGGCTTGTAATCAGTGTCTGCTTCTGTCTCAAGAGACAAAGGTGCAAAGGCATTTAATGTGCCTAACTTTTAATACCTATCCTATCAATCATGCAGACACACAGAAGACAGAAGTCATAGCTGGGAGGCCTATATTATCTTAAATCTGTTGTGTCTGGAGCTCAGGTTCTATGGTGAGCTAGAGACAGCAGAGTAGTGCACCAAATGCATCTATAGGACTTCCCAGAGTGATTTAAAAGAATTTATTAACTGACTCAAGTAGCCCATGGAAAGTGTGCATGAATTGGTAAAGGTCAAGCTGTATATGACTTTCCTGTCCAGCTCCCAGAAATAGTTTTAAGTTAACAGTAAGTTTTATTATACCCCAGAGGGAGTCACAACACATTATATTTCACTAGAAACAGGGTATCTCTTATAAATTTGATCTCTGCTTTTACATCTCCCAGATCATGGTTTTAGTGAAGCATACATTACATCTGTTTTTTGCAGTACGATAGGAACTCTTAGATTGAAGCTTTTTAAAAGGTAGGAAAGGACTCATGAAAGACTGCCAAGGAAAGCTAAATGCCATTTGAGCACAGGTGCTACCACAAGTTGTGTTAACAGACCACCAGAATACTTAAGATTGATTACTGGGGCTTATCGTGAATGCCCTTCTCAATTTGTTATGGTAGCTTGTCTTTGAGTTAGTATCATACATAATGTTTTACTTTTTTCTTTTTAATCCCTCATAGAACATACAGTGTCTTCATTATAAAATATTTAGTTAAGGGAATAATTTCAACATAATGATTTCCATTTATCTCAATGAATCTGAACTAGCATTTTGTGAGTACCATGTAAAAGGAAAGATCTGCTGAATGTGGGTAACAAACCAGTTATGACAGCTAAAGCATGGCTGCACTCTGCAAATTTAAATAGATGCCACTTCGACGCAGGAACAATTAATCAAAATTTGCAACTTTTTATTATTACCAGTATTAATAAGGGGGATTTCTAGACTTCATGATTTAATGGAACCTAAAATGTTTGGCTTCTAGTAGTCTACAATGTTATCATGAAACAACATGCAAAATAAATTGCTGCTACTATTTAAAAGTTATTAATAATTGCCTGACTATAAAAATCTGTGCTGAATATTGTACACAGAAACAAACAAAAGGATATGTTCCAAGTAATGGGATTGTCTGTGCCTTTAGCATTGTATTTACACTCTGCTTCTAGTTTTCATTTATAGTACCATTCACTCCTGATTTTCTGAAAAGATATTTCAAGCAACTGTTCAGAAGTTTATTACAAATATGCTCTATTACACCAAACTCTTGGTGAACACAATACATAATAAACACTCTAGAGTAATAAGAGTTTTCCTACTTATAAGAAGTCATCATTTGAGGAACAAAGTTCCACAATTACTGACTGAGGAAATTATTTTATGTAATATTTGAATTATCTTGGAACTAAACTACGAGTGTATCTACTGTATCTACTGTGAAATGTGCTGATGTCAAGGCAGGGAAACTTTGAATGGGAGTCTCAGAGAAACTCCATAGCTGTGAGCACAGAAACAATAGATATTTAATTCAATTATACAAAAGTCAAAGATTCATAGAATCATATAATGTTTCAAATTGGAAGGGATCAGTGGGGATCATCAAACCCAACTCCCTGGCACAAGTACCTAGAATAAACCCAAACTCCCAGATCTGCTTCCAGAGGGATTCTTTCCAAGCTCTCATCCCCCCATTTATATCTACAACAAGGATTACACAATTTTACCTGTAGCATCTAGTGCTTGTTCTTATTCAATTTCATAGTGTTGGTGATTGAAGTTCTGTATTCTACCCAGATGTCTCTGAAAGGCCTTTACCCTTGCATTTCCTATGGCACCTCCTAATTTTATGTTGCTGACAAAACTAATGTGCAATTCCTGCATCCAGAATATTTATAAAAATATTAAAGAGGACTGGGTTTATAAATTAAACATTGCAGCACCCTACTGATGACTGCCACCATCCCAGTGTGAGTCAAATGCATTAGCCAATTCCTCATCAAATGTATTATGGATTTGTCTAGCTGTATGTTGGACATGAGTCCTGAAGAGAGTATGAGAGTCAGTAGCAAAAGCTTTGCTAAAATTAAAAAAAATGAAAATAAAAAAAAAAAAATCACATCTTCTGTCTTGCCTTGGTCTATAAGTTGAAGTATCTTATTGTAAAAGGAAATTAAGTTGGTTAAGCAGAACCAGCTTAATGATTAAACCTTGTGAATCTGTGCTGGCTATGACCAATGACACCAGTGTCTCTCAAGTGGTTTTCAATAACGCTCAAAATAACCTTTTCCAGAATTTTACCAGAGACTGAAGTGAGACTGACTGGACTATTAATAATCAGGGTCCTCCTTCTTACTCATCTTCAACACTGTGACAAGCCATACTATGAAGGAGTAATCATAACAGGAATCTCTGAGTTAAGATAGAGTGCAGATAGAATTAAAAGACCTAAAAAATCCAGGTTCTGGTGGTCAGTTGTAAGGATCATAAAAAGCAAATGATAAATATCTTTTTATGACAGGTCAAGATATGTATGTTCAACAGAGCCAAAAACCTTTACTTCCATTGTACAAGCACAGTGCCTCATTTCAAAGAGTATTGGTATTAAGTCATGTATAACAGGAAGGCATATTCAAATTAATAATCACAGAAACCCGTAGATATTATTGAAGGTAGCACTGTCATTATGAGAGTAATAGAAAATGGGGGAAATGAGCTGACAAGGACATAGTGAAATTCAACAAGGACTAAAGCAAAGCCCTGCCCTTGGGATGTAAAATCCCCTGACCAGCAATACAAGTTGGGAAATGATAGCTGGGGAGTGGGCAGAAGTTGAACATCAGCCAACAGTATGCCTAGACAGCAAAGACGGCCAGCAGAATCCTGGGATGTATTTATGGGGACACAGTCAGTAGATCAAGGGAAGTGATTATCCCTTTTACTCAGCATTCCTCATCTAGCTCCTACATCCACTTCGGGGTCATAATTAAAAAAAAAAAAAAAAAAAAAAAAAAAAAAAAAAAAAAAAAAGACATCAAAAATAGGAAAATTCAGCAAAGGGTCAGCAAGATGGTGTGATATTGGATAATGAGTCTGAGACTAAAATGAGAGCAGTTCAGAATGGCTATAAGGAGAAAAGCATTATCCCCTTTAGGACAGTGGACCAGGCTGCCCTATGAAGTCTCTGTCTAGATCTTTAGAGGTTTTGAAGGCCAGGGTGGAGAAAGTCTTGAGCATTTTGGTCTAACCTCACAATTGGCCATGCTTGGAGCAGGCGCTGGACTCTAAAGTCCTCATGTCCCAGTCTGAATTATCCTTTGATCCTAATATAAGCAAAAAAGAATGGGATTATTATCCACACACGCAGTTCAATTTTTACAACAGTAAGTTCTCAAAGAGTTTATTCATTAGACAAGAATCAGCAAAAAGGTAGGGTTTTTGAGGGGAAGCATTGGATTTTGAGTGTTGGGGTTTTTTTAAAAAATTTTGATCAGTTAATGAATGAGTTTGCATAATTTTTTGACTGAAATACTAAGACCCAGTATTATTTTTACTTTTCATTTGCCTTTTCCAACAATCAAAGATCTGACTAAATTTTCTGCAACTGTTTGGAAGTATTTTCTATCAGAACAACCATTAATGTATTTAGATGTGAAACTCACCCAAAAGAACCACTCAAGTATGCAAGATCTTGACCACATCTGCCCAACTCTGTCTCAATAGATGAATATCGTGTGCTCTGGGAAAACAATACAAGCACAAATAATTCTTATGTGGGAAACTTACTGAGAACTCAGACAAAGCAAAGAAATTATTTCTTTCTGGCAAAGAAATAAGAAAGACTATCCAGTTTAATAGCAAAAATCTAACAAACGTTCCAAGCAGCAGTACCAGAACAACTGCTCTGTTGTAGTGACCTACTAATTAGTTCCTCCTGGCTTGAATTTTTAAGTCTCAATCAGTAGATATACATATATATATATATATATATATATCTATAAAGGGAGAGAGAGAGCATGTAAACATATATATAGATATAAATATACAACTACCGCTAATAATTAGTAACAGCTAAGGAATTCAAGTACATTGAAGGGTTCCTTTCATTTAGAATATAGCCTCTGAAGCTATTTCTACACAGTAGTTACTGGCAGTAAATAAAAACTGATGCAAACTGTTGAAGGAACAACATTGTAACAGAAAGGGAATGTGAATCTCAGTTAATAGAAGCAAGGTAAAGTGAGAAACGCTTTGGTCAACCTTGATTCTCCTCCTGAGTACAGAAGATAATACCTTGCCCTGTGGATGGGCAGGAGAAAAAGGCCAACACTCATTTCTTTCTGCTGCAATCGAATCAAAGCTAGGAAAGGGGAAAGGAGAAACTGATTGTTTGCCTTTTGTTCTTCATAGTCTTTGAAGTGTTTTTTGAAAGCAAGTACTAACTGTCTGCTATTGTACCTTACCTGTAAGTAAATTGAGGTGACTGAATTATAATCCCAAAATGTGATGGTTTTGACTGATTGCTAGCTTGAAAATCAGAGTGGAACCCTTCCTTGTCAAAAAGCAATATGGTGCCTACTTGTTTGCTTTTCCTTCTCATCTTCACATCCACTTCAGACATATTCATTTTTTTCATAGTATATAGCTCTGGGTTTTGGAAAGATTTGATGTCAGTGAGATGATGAAACAGTTAAACAAATGCATAGCTCCAAAAAAGCTGATCTGAGATGCATTTCATGTAACTTAATGCGCCTCACAAAAACTAGGAATTGGATTCATATTGCTTGTTCATGCTTGAAGCACAAAAAATTGCTCAAAGGCAGATGGAGGGAAAGCAAAAAAATTCTAAAAATAAAAATCCCAGTGGAAATAAGGATTTTCACTGTCCAATTTGGTTTCTTCTAAGATAGAAGTCTCAAGACACTGAAGTGAATAATTCACATGAAGAAAATTTAAAAGTTCTGTAGTATTAAATTTTCTAGGCAAAAATCTCCAAACAAACAAACAGAGAAATATGGAATCAAGAACTGTATAGTTATAAAATTTGTCTTCACTTGCAACTAATGCAATAGGGAAAATTTAAAATAGCATGGAGACATAGAAAATGGCCATAAAATACTAATTACCTACATTTCAGGTGGCTATTTTTCATTTTTTTTTTTTATTTAACATGTCTATGAGAAAACAATATCTATAATTTTCAGAGCCACAGTCATATTTGTGGACTTTTTCAGTTTAACAAGCAATACTCTGTATAAAATTCTGTAATCTGTAATTTTTTGTCTTCCAACTCATGAAAAAATAAATCCCTAGCTACTGGAATCACACTATCAGTTGTGCTTATTCTTCTGTCTTCATTAAATCAGGAGATCACAGTAACTATGAGTATACTGAGCAAAACATAAATGTGCTTGCTATACATTTTGCTGAAGTTAAATAGCGCAAAACAGTGTATACTAAGTGTATTAGTATGCACTGTTAGTGTATACTAACAGTGCTGAAGTTAAATAGCATAAAATAGTGTATGAATACCATATAATAGTGTATAAATAGCATAAAATCATGTATGGTAAAATTATTTATCACTGAATTTTTAAATACTATCCTGAATTAATTTCCTGGCATTTTTTATTCTGTCCTTGTAGTCTAAGGAAGCAAATAATCTAGTTTAACAAAGGCTGAGTATTTAAATCTGAAATGGTCACCTCAGAAGGCCTTAACACAAAAGCAGTTCCAAGGGGTAACTTATCTAACCTTGGTTTCCTATTTTAGAGTGAACAAAAATTATCCTATGAAAATATGTTCCAAGTAATTTTTAAGCAACTAGAACACAAATTTTGAAGTAATATTTTATTTCTAAGTATCTTAAGACTGATTAACCTACTCCTTTTGATACTAGCAGTAAGATGTCAGCAGTTTTTCTGAGAGGTATGTAAACTGTGAAGTAAAGTAACTGTTCTCAAATCTAAAATAAAACAAAATTGTATATCTGCATTTAGAGCTTTGCTTTATTTTGCATTTTTTTTCATATTTATGATTTGTATATCGTGAGAAGGACATACATGTATATAGTGAGAGAAACATACTTTGTCTCACTCATTGTTGGAAACCACAATCTGCAGATTCTGAAATTTCACCAGATACTTTCAAGGGGGAATAAGTGCGTAACATACTGAGCACAACCAGTTTGAGGTGCAGTAGTATAATATTGTCAGTCTAGACAGGTGTACAGCAGATGAGCCAGTGACATTGCTTTTCCCTTTTTTAGCATTTTCCCTGTTCCTATCAAATCAGGCATGGAGTAATAGAGGGATTTCTCCCTTTTACCTACTCGTGAAACAAAGTCAAGGTATTTTGCATAGACAAAAAGATCACATAGGATGAGCATGAATCATTAATAAAGAAAAAATGTTTAAGAAAAATGGAAAAGGCATAAAAAACTAATCTTTGAGACAACTGATAGGACATAAAAATCTTGTCACATTTTAATTGGGGCAAAACGAGGCAAAGGAAAACAACATAAATCATGACATTTTAAACTTTAATTGCCTGGAGAGAAGAATGTCTTAGGAATAACCTTATTTTAACAGCTAAATATCACTATGGAGATTACTTTGTACATTTCCTATTATTTGTCACCAAGGGGAAATTATTTGGGTTACATTAGAACTTATAAGAAGGATCTGGACTTTTAAATCAGAAAGAATAATAAATAAAATAATAAATTTGCCTTCTTCAGCATCTTAAAACTAGACCTATGAGTTAATAATATCGAGCGGCAGCTCTTCCCTTGGGAATAGTGATATCTGTTCCCAGCAGAATTTAACATCCTTTGATTTAAGCAATACAATCCCCAGCGTCTTTCTGTGACTTGTTTTCCTCTTGCACTAAGCATGAACAGCATGTTTGGCATCACCAAGCCCAGCTCCAAAACAAGCTAGAATGGGAAATATTTAACTTTTTTGTGGAATCAGGGAAAATAAGTGGCTGTCTTTGAAGGCCTCAGAAGGAAAAGCAAGTACAATTTGGGTATGCAAATTTCTTAACCATAACAGTCTGTTTCACAATCTCAACAAAGTTTTTAATTCCAGCTCAGGTTGCTGGTATTTAAGAAATGGCATGCTTGTAAAGTCATAAGAACTTGCACTGTATACATGTCATTACCTTGCTAGAATGAGGGTGAATTAAGAAAACATTGACTCTCACATAATATTTTTTCTTGTGAGTGTAAGTATAGAAGGCAGAAAAAGGGTAATTCAAATAATATTTGATTAGTAATTTCAGAACAACTCCATCACTGATCACATTCTAAAATCAGAGTGAAAAAAAAATAAAACCCGATATTAAATTTTATACTTTGTTTTTGTAATTCCAGATTTTGGAAGACTGAAGATAATTTGAAGATATTTTTCTGGAAAGGAGTGCTAAAATGATAAATATTTTAAACATTTTTAATATGATAAGTAATTATTTTAATCAATAATAAAGTCTTTTCTGAGTGTATCATGGACTTATTTCTTTATCACCCTAGTGAGTGAGAACTTAACACTGACTTTCAAAACTTTTCTTCTTAAGCTTTCAACCCAATTCCAGCTCTGTCATTGGCTGGTTTTGTTCTTTAATACTGTGCACAGGTCTTCTGAACTTGTACCCCATTTATGAAGTCTTTTTCCTCTTTGGATTCTCTGATTTCTGAGAACACATGACCTCATTCTGAAGCTTTTCACTTGGTCAGTCATTTTATGTGCACTCATGTGCACTCTTTCTTCTCATTTTTAACTTCTTTTTTTCATTTTTATGGAGAATGTAACCATAGAGCCTTGCTTTAGTCAAGTTTGCTACTGGGTACTGCAGGTAACGGCAGGCAGATTGCATGCAGGATGATGACATCAGTCTTTTCTCTTTAGGAAAATGGGATGAAAGTAGTTATTTTTATCTTCTATAGAACAGATCCCAGCAGATAGAAGATTGTTAAAACTCCAACTTTGATGCATATCTGCATGCATTCTGATTTGCCCCATTTTGGTTTTGCAATAATCGTGTTTAAAGCAATAAAGAAAAAAACAAAACAAAACAAAACAAATAAGCAAAAACTTCAGAACTCTTATTTTGGTTCTGATACATATTCTAGTTAATTCTACTACTGTCCCTTAAAGTTACCTTGTGTGCATATATATAATTTATATCTTCATGTTCTTTAGTCTGATTTCAGAAACATGATGAATTAAAATGCAGAATCTATCTGAGCATCCATCTTAAGAGATTTCAGCTGAAATTCTCTCAGACCTGAATTCCTTTTATTTGCCTAGCTTTCTTAGTCTTGAAATGTTACTTATGACAGCATAGATAACTGTGATTTCATGTTAGGAATTTTCTTCCAGTTGAAAAAATATTATAGACTTTAAATTCTATAAGCAATGAATTTGCAAGCCATAACAAACCAATCAGTTATCTGAAAATTGGTGGCAAAACCTCTTACTGATAATTTCATATGAAAAGTGCACGTAGAAAATACTGGAAGAAAAAGCAAGAGAAATACTGTGAAAAAACGATCAAGACTTTTTTTTTCTCTTAAATCATTTCTGTATGTTAATAAAACAGTGTCTCCGTCTCTCTGGGTGCCTCCCAGTGAACCCCGGCCAGCCCCGGGTCGGCAAACAGCGGGCTATATGTAGCATGAGAGAAGGCATCCTTTTCCAATTAAATTTGCATATCTTTATGAATAGCATGACGGATGTC